TCTGGCGTGGTTAACCTATCAAACATATTTCGTCCTTATCTACCCCCCTTTTCTCTGTATGTTACTCTCTTGTAACAGTGAATGGTTGGCGAGTTTTCTGGTGTGGTTTGATCATTTTTTCCCTATCAAACGTCTATCGTTTTGATATCCCTCTTTTTTTCTTCTTTGTACCTTACTCTCTTGCAACACCTCTAATCTTCGACACTTATATGACTTGCTTGTGTTGCAAGCGCCGTGGAACTCTTACTAGAGCGATACAAAAAGTACCATTGTTGAGCTCCGTAAAACCTTACTACAACAAACAATTGTGGGGCTCCGTTACTTCACACAGTGAGTCAGCGAAGTGGAAAAATGGATTACAAACAACACCGGTTCCCAAACCGCGGCGAAAGAATTCTTTAGGGGGAGTTGGAATGTGGCCATATATATCCCTCGACCACCCCACCCACGGCGGCTTACAGCACGCTATAATTCTCTGACTCTATAACTCTCTGACTCTCAGACCGGCACGCACACTTCATAGATTTATAGCTCAATAAATATCCTAGATCGTGCACGCAGACGTACTTCCGGGTCACTTTAGAGAGCGGTATTTTTAGTTTTAATTTTAGGAGGAGTTTTTCGGCACGTGCTACGCGATAAGGTTATATAGGTGCCCCCAAGATTAGAGGTTGTTTCAAGAGAGTAATAAACACACACACACACACACACACACACACACACACACACACACACACACACACACACACACACACACACACACACATACACAATAAAAAAGGAGAGGTGCGGAAGACAGATGTTTGATAGGAAAGAAGGAGCACTCTTTGATCACTGCCGTAAATAAAATGTGACGTCACGACATGTTTGTGTTTGGTGCTGTATACTGTGGACATAGACGGCAGTGATTTGACTCATCTTGAGCTAAATGAAGGGCAAGCCCTGGCATCTATAAATGTGAGGCAGCGCGGCGGAATCAGGCTCTCGTCAATTGTTGGACATGTAGAGTTATTGGTATCATCTTAAAGCTTGTTCACTTGTCTTTATTTGGATGAAGAAAGTATCCATTTATCTTGAACACAAGTCGAGATATTTAAGAAAGAAGGAGGTGGGGTCACCTGTTTTCAGAAGTAAAATTAGTGAGAAAATGGCCGCTAAAGGTTAGTTATTTCCTTAGCTTAAGAGTAAGTGGTAACTAAAAATTTACATTTTCTGTGTCTTTAATCAACGTTTGTCAGAAAAATTTACACAGAAATGAGTCCTTTAATGGGCATGAAAGGTGTTGAGCCAAAAAAACAACAAAAATTTTAAAATAAAAATTCACAAACCTGCGGAAAAATGCAAGTTTGTTCATTTTGATTATTTTGACGAGAACCTGATTCCACCACGCTGCCTCACAAATAGTGTATCCGCCAGGCGCTTTGCTGTCTCACGCACGAGACGCGAGTTCGATTCCCGAGTGGAGGGAAAATTTTGCTCGAGTATTTCCGTTTTCCTCCCCAGCTGTTGTATCCCTAATTAGCCCGGGCTGGCCCTGACTACAGGCAGTGTTGGAATCCCGTCAGATAAATGATCCAATTTGAGTGGATGAGGACGTAACAC